AATAAATTATTATTTTATTTAAAAAATACTAAATACAATTAAATTTTCCAGGCAAATTTGTCTGAAATACGGTTTAAAGGATAAAACAAACAAGTTTTGTAAATTACTATATTTTTATACTATCAGCTATATACGTACTGTAGTGTATTGACCAAAGTACCCAGGGTCTAATACATTCTAACCAAAAAAAAACTTAATCAAATACTCGTAGGTATCTTGATCGATAAAGGTATCTTGTATGGGATACTTTGTATAGTCTTATATATATATGCAGAAATCAATGTATTAATGTGAAAAATATCATGCAAAATACCTGGGTATTATCTACGGTTGAAAACAAATACTATACAAAGTACCCAGATATTTTGAATAGAGTACGCAGAAAAGGAATACTTTGGTCAATACACTACGGTAATAGTTATTTATTATCGTTATTATTTATAATATATGTATAATAATAAAACTATTCTATTTTTAGTCAATATATACTTTTCTTTATTTATATATATACAGTATATAATTTTAAAAAAAAATTAAAATTTTTTAGGAAAAGGTCTAAAAGACAACGAGTTTCATAAAGCAGCTCTTATATCTCTTGAGCTCTGGCAAAACCTTGGGTATACTTGGTCAGAAGATGAAAAACTAATTGCGCAAATACGACAATTTAATGCATGATTATCACTATTTGATCTTCCTTATATTTCAGGCATAGACATTTCAAAAATTTGGTGGGGTCTTTTAAAAACCCACCTCGATATTTAGCTGAGTTAGCCTATAGAATTTTTTTAATTAATCCTACACAAGCGGGTTGCGAAAAGAACTTCTCATTGTTAAAGTGGATTTTAGGGGATCGTTACACTAATTTGAATATAAACAGGCTAGAGAGAATGTCTAAAATCAGGTTATATTACATGACAAATATCTAACATGAGCTAAACTTTTCTGATAAAGAATTAACAGAAGCTGATCTTTAAGATGTATAAAATATATCTTTAGTTAGTAATATTATGAGTTATAAGGAGGATCAAATAAGGGATGATGAAACTTCGTCAGATACATCTAATGGTTCTACAACCTTATTAATTAATAAAATCGTTGACTTGGAAATTGAAGAACATTCAGAATCCCCTGTAGCAGAAACGGCCCAAGCTGTTTTATCTGAAGATCTGGATTATAATCCTTCCAATGTATTAAATAGTTTTTTAGAACATGAAAAGTAAAATAGGTAAAATAATTTGTATGCACAATTTAATAACTAATATTAAATAAATGCTGTAGCTTAAATAAATCCTACTTCTAAGACAATTATTAATTATTAAATTGCAATCGATTACTCGTTTTATATTATTTATTAAAAATCTATCTAAATTTGTATTAAGGTATTGATTTTATTTAAACTATTTTAATATTACTATCTGTGAATTTTTATAAAAATATCTGTGTGAAATTCGAATACTCGAGCTTTCTCAATTTCAGATATTAATATTTTACAACTAATAGTGCCAGTGGTGCAAATTTTTTAAAACATCAAAGTGTTTAAGATTATATGATACATATTGACTATATTTTATTCACACTTATAGTATTAGTTATAATCGTATAATTAAACTACTTTAATGCATATAAGCAAGATGATAGTTTTAATCTGCAAGTATTGAGGTAGGGTATAAAAAACAACTATATAATCTATATTAAATAAGGTTTTATCATAAACAATCATGTGATTCACAAAAATGAGTAGTGACAATTATTAAAGAACTTTAGCAAGATATGTCTAATTCTAGTCAAAATTAAAAAAATTGGTACATTTTTAATTTTAAATAGTATAAGTAATAAAAACATACTAGTACTAAAAAAAATTGAATTATTCTTTCTAAAGCTCAATTTTTATTCAAATTATAGAAATCTATCCAACATTCATAAAAAGTTGAAAACCGTTAGAAGAAGAATAATGAAACCAGAGAAAGTAATGAAAGCAATGGTGACGATGAAGTCAATTGTGAAAATAATAAAATTGACAATGAATATGACAATAAACATGATAACGAAATGATGATAAAAATTATAATTAAAATAATGACAATAATTTATCATAATTAGGTATAGTGTTGTAAATTTGCCTTCTAGTAGGAAATTTCTGGCCTTCCAGTGGCTTCTAGTGGACTTTTAATAGCAATACTGATTAGGTATACATGGGAAAGAAATCTGGAACTAGTTCTCGTATACAATTTCTATTGACTTTCTTATGTGATTCATTAGATATTGGCAATAAGTAATTTGCTATAGGTTTTACATTTGTAGCTATGTTAAGAGTCCGTGCTCTTTCTGATCTTCTTTTCAGCAGTGCTTTTT